CTGACATAAAAATCATTTGGAGACTGTGGGGAACAGGAGTCTGAAACTAACTTTTCAAAATGATTCTGAGAAAGAGCATTGGTTTCTAGCAAAGATCATGACTACATATCATGCGGGCAGAGAAAATTTAACTCTGCTCACCCCAAGCAATTCCATCAGCAAAAGGTTCATGGTTGTGGGTGTGAATTCATCCATTCAGTTTGTGGAAAATTCCAGTGTTAATAATATAGTCCTTTTCACAAAAAATCTTCATCAAACTTGTAACCATAATCCATGATAATTGACCTTATTGGCTATAAATGATGAGAGGTGTAGCCGGAAGGATCTGGAAAGTGACAGGTAAAGCACCTAAATGTACAGGTGTTTCTTGTGATCTGATCCCTTTAATAAGACACTGTTAACAACAGCTTTAAAATTGGCACTGTATCACCACAGTTTCAGCATACTACCTTGTATACTCATGTAAAGAATCTTAATGACTAATCTTGAATACGAAGAAGTGCAGACAACAGTCTCCTTTATGAAACGCATGCAGCATTGCCTCACTTAATAGATGATTATATGCATGGGTTGTTATAGGTTTTTTCGGGCTATATGGCCATGTTTTAGAGGCATTCTCTCCTGACGTTTCGTCTGCATCTATGTCAAGCATCCTCAGAGGTAGTGAGATTATATGCATGTTTGGCTGAATAAGTACATTGGGAATATACAAAGATTTATCACTACATGTGTCATATCTGAATACAGCCAACTGTTCAATTGTCAGTATCTCAGTCCCCACAGTCATTGACTGGCTGGCTGATGAATACACATGCTTCTGGGACCAAGAAACTCAATGAGGAAAATTGTAATTCTCTGGCCACCAGCTCTCAAATCCACAAATAAGCATCCCAATAAGTCTGTAGGCTATTAACATTTTTCCACTAATTTAAACTCAGTTCAGCGTTTCTCATATCGATGTGGATGGCATTCTACAGACTTTAAATTCAACACAGATTTCCTCATATAGCCAAATCTTGAATACATATGAACTTCTACATACTTTTACAATACATATTTCTTTTTAATCACATAAGCAAGCTTAGTGTTTCAAGGAGGGATTCTTAGAACCAAGGTTGGGTAGACTTTCAGACTGTGTGATCTGTTGTTTTATTTGATCTCTTAGGTCCAACAGATAGAGCCAGGTGAAAATTAATGACTAGCCACGGTAGACCTAAATCAAGAATTAAGAGTATATATGGAAAACACACTCAAATGAAGAATGATTTACCAACACCAGCACCATTTTCACAAGCTCTTTCACAAAATACTATAGCCCCCGTTTCCCTTGAAAGCACTCTTCTTTTTAGCTGCCTACAAAATAGCAGAATATGTGTTACAGGTATACCTCAGATAACAAAGCTTCTGACAAAGCCTCTTTGTGTCTACCCAGTCCTCTCTTTCTTCTCCTCTGACTACCTGTAAGGTTTCAAACAGCACCGGTGCCAGAACAGTTGTAAATGAAAACAGGTTCTATGTACTGGACACACAAAGGGCCCTTCCACACAGCCCTATATCCCAGAATATGAAGGCAGAAAATCCCACAATATCTGCTTTGAACTGGGTTATCGAAGTCCACACTCAGATAATGTGGGTTATTCAGCCTTGATATTCTGGGATATAGGGCTGTGTGGATGGGCCCAAAGACTTTCGGTTGCCAAGCTGAAACAGTGTGTCTGCAGTAAATACTGTAGTAAAATAAAGCATTAGCAGGGAAATATAAGGCTTTTCCTCACTTGATCCTACTCTAGTTGTGTATGCCTGCCTACAACAGTCACAGTAACAGCAACTGCCTCTAGACCCCCTTTGTTGAGTATACATGAAAAGGTGGGGAAAAGGGGAAAGCAGGCTTTTTCAAAAGCATACATGTCCAGGGTAGGCTACCAGAATGGAAGTCATAACAAATGTGAGGCTGGTAAAAGAAACAACAGTCTCTGGGTACGTTTTAAAATAATCTTTCAAATGATCTGTAGAAAGTTGAAATTGTTTTTGTTTACTATTGAAATGTTTACAAGACCTAGATGTTTTATTTTACATGTCCATATTATTAGTTTCTAATAAAAGATTTGGTGAGACATGTTGAGCTGCTTTCATTTATTTTAATGTTTTTTTGTTTATGAATCTATTTCTTCCAAGTTATTTTAACCTGTGATACAAGTTTTGTTTAATAAGTAGTAATGTCCAGGAACTCATCTAATACATTAATCTGTAATTGCTATTGTTAGACAACTGGGGGGGGGGGGGAACACTTGATGTTCTGTTGTGAATTTCCCCACATATTTACTTTTTGCCCATACTCAAACTAAACTCTTGTTTGAGTTTTAAGCAATGACATGTTTCTTAAAATACAGTTGTGGTTAATTTATGATCATCAGTGAACACCTGTTTTTATCGAGCTTGAATATGACAACTAAAAATGCATGAGCAGCTAAAATGTCTAAACTCTGTTCCAATTTATGTCAAGTATGCTGTGTTTGAGAAGAAATGCTTACATTAATGCTTTAGTTCTTTTTTAAAAATAAAAACCTCTGAAATACTTCTGTGTAGATAGTTTTACTATAAACCAGCAGTTAAAGAATCTAATGCAGTTGTGCAGGAAAATACTTGTTTGAGGGATTAATTTTTTTCAGTGTCTTTGTATAATCAAATCTTGATAATCTTTTTTTGCCTTGCTGTCTGCTTTTTTGTGTCATTATCAGACTAGTGTTTTCTTTTCCGGATTAGTGATGTACTTAACACAGAGAATTGCCCAGAGCAACATATTATAAGATTTCCAGAGTATGTGTTTTGTCTCTGTGTCTAAATTGGACAGGAGGCCAAAGAATTGTAACTAACAAAGTAATAAATAAATATAGCTCCTCTAAGGAACATGAACAGGAGGACACTTATTTGGCAAACTAGTTGTATAGTCAAATCTTCCAATTTCTACCAGAAAAGAAAAACAAACCCAAGCCCCAAGTCCATGCTCATTTCTTTGGTCACGCATGAAGAATTGACTGTAAAAATACTCAGAAAGATCTATAAAGAGGCAAGATGACTGCAACCACTGATATAATTGTCTCTTTGGTTAAATTCTATCTCCTTGGGTCACCCTGTATCATTTCAATCACCTGCTAGAATCACAGGCCTGGAAAAGGCCTCATGGGACATCAAGTCCAATTCTCTGGTCAACGCAGGATCTCCAGCTAAAGCATCCCCAGCAGGTAGTTAGCTGTTCGAGCTTTTTTTTTTTTTAGGACATCCGGAGAAGGAGACCTCACAACCTCCTTAAGCAATTGGTTCTATTGCCCAGCTGTTTTTACTATCAAAAAGTTCATACTTTTTCAATCGGAATCTACCTTCCTATAAGTCAAAACCAAGGATCTTATCACATTAGGAAATATTCTGTTTCTGAGACTGTTTGAGAATGATTTTGATTCCACATCCCGTCAGTATTCTGTTGGAATCCATCTGCAAAGCACTGCAGAAATTGAAATTTGCAGACAGATTGTGTTTTTTTAAAATACTAAGGATTCTTCCGTTGCTGAAGCACTGTTTTTGTGTGTGATAGGAAAAACTGTATGCATCCTATCAGCAATGATACTTTTGAAAGGTCATAGAGTGATGTAGGGGGTGTTTTGAATAGATTGGGAGGAGGCAGCCTTCTCTAGTGTGTTGAGTCAAAGTGGAGTATTTTAAAATCATAAGAATTGTAATAATCAGGTGTGATGAGGAGAGTATGTATCCTGCCTCAATTCAGTATGCATCCAGCCCCCCCCCCCCCAATATAGGATGCATACTGATATAAACAGATTATATCCCAATGTGATAAGGTTCCAAGAGACCTTCTTCCTGTCCCCTGGGACAGCAGACAAGCCTGCTTCTTGCAACTCGTGGGTTCACTGTGTATTGCAGGAATGGAGAATCTTTAGTTCTCTGTAGGTTTTGGGGTATGAGTCCCACAATCCTTCATGTCAATTAATCAGATAGGATTTTTGAACTAACAATTTCCCACCTCTGCTGTTCCAAAAGGTTTAGGGCATGCTTGGGAATCATGCAGTGCTCCAGATGGTCCTGAATTACAACTCTCACAATTTTCTATCATTAGTTATGCTGGCTAGGGCTGCTGGGACACAATTACTCTTGGTAGAAAAATCAAGATGCTCGAGTTGTAAAGACCTGGGAATACATCCTACTGGGTTGTTGTTTGTTGTTTTTGTTTCATTTTGCTAGAAATGATTGTAGTGAAGGACAACTTTCAGACAATGCTGGGTCCCACATCTACCTACTACACTAATACTATGACTACCAATCATAGCATTTTTTTAAAAAGTAACAGATACATAGAAGATATAACCATAATTCACAACACATCCTTGCAGTATCTGTGCACATGGACACTGCACCATTTAGCATTCGGGGGGAGGGGCAACTTCTTCCCACTGGCATTGTTCCTATTGCTAATTAAGTATAGGGATTGGTGATTTTGCTGCCACACCACCTGAAGTATGAATTATACCTTTCCTCTGTCATGTGCATAGTTGTGAAAATAATCCACTACACTTCTGATATTTAATTTGTTGCTGGCTGGAATTCGCATTGTTAATTTCCCATGCGTTTATACCTTTAGAGAAATTGTTGGGATCCTAAAAAATCCACAAAATTTCATGAAGACTATAGGACATGAAAAAGAAGCAGATGAAAACCTATGATCACAAGAAAAATAAAAAGACAGTAAAAGTTCACCAGCTAATTGGAATTGCCAGAAATTTGAATAATCTGCCTTATAAGACGCCTCTACAAACAAGAATTATAATGGACAGAGCATTTATTCATCTCTGCACTGTGAGATGCCTGTGCTGCCTACAGCATACCAATGCAGTGCAAGACTTGCAGTAAAGCCACCTGCTGGTATGTTCTCCATTTTTTCTGCATTATACATAATTATAGAAAACACACACACACATATAGCATCCACTTACCTTCACAATGCTTTTTAAATCCTGCACATATGTCCGCTCAGTCTCCAGGATTTCTTGGACCACTCTGTCAACATACAGAAGCTTTGGACTAGTGGGCTCCGTAATCAAGGACATGACACAATTTTTGCTACTTTCCTTTAATTCAGCTTTCCGTGGCATACTTGGCCTTCTCCCAAGACTTCCATCAGAGGCCTGTTGTTCTTTGATAGGGTTATTCTTTCTGAGTTCTTTGCTGCATAATCGCTGGGCTGGAGTCAGCTCCAGTTTTATGGCCCCTGCTTCCTTATCTTGGTTGAATAAGCCCAGGTGACTGTTTGAAACCAAGGTTGTTCTGCTGCCAAAGGAGCAGTGACTATCTCTGGAGGATGCGGAGGATGATGTAGAGCTGAAGCTAACAGGACGGTCACTGTCTGACAGTTCCATGCTCTTGATCCCACAGTAGTGGAAGTGTCTGTTTTCTCCTTGTAGGTTTTCCCCTGTTATCTTGGGGGCTGTGCCCACCATCACAGTAGGCAACACGTCAAGGGGCAAATGGTAGCCATCTTTAAGGAGACAAAAAGAAACATTGTTTTCATTTATTACCATGTGCAACTAGTCCAGCAGAGTTCATAAATCAGAACACATAGCTATTCAATAGACACATTTTTGTAGGTGGGATAGAAGTTTACAATGATAATGTCACACATCCAGTTATCAAAAACATTGCAAAGATTTCTTCTACCCGTCTTTCATTCTATTTCCTTTTGTTCAGATGCATTTTGTGCAAACAATTCTTAAATACAGAGATTCAAACCCCCAACTTAGAATAATAAACAACCTTCCCTCAAACATTTGCCCAGATCTTGCCTCCAGGCTTGTAAATAGCAATTTGGCCAATTATCTGTACTAAATATCCCTTTCAGGGAAAGGAAGCTTTTATATATTTGGAGCTGAACTAGTAAAAATAGTTGAGGATTTGTGCTTTTCATGAACTTGCTTGTACAGTTACTTTCAACATTTTCCAATGTACACCCTCCTGCTTTTTATTGAGACTGAATGCATTCTGGCAAACTACCAGGTTTACATTTTATTTCCTTCCCATAGCGCATGGAGCAAACATACTTCTTGCTACAATCAAGATGTGATTTCCTGGCCTACAAGGGAATGTGTGCAGGACAGAACATCTATTTTATGCCCATTAAGTAACTCCTGGGGCTACTCAAGCCTACACTGGAAATTCTCCATTTGTTTTCATATTTTAATTTAAAAGCACAGGTGAGAATAATTCAAGGTTAATTCAAATTTCTCTCTGCTGAAAAACATCAACACACAAATGTCTTTTGAAATAGTTTCTTCAGTGAAATAGCAAAAGAAAAAAATTACCTTGACTTTTCAGATAAGAAACACATATGTGTTTTATCAGCATTAAAAGACCATAAAATCAAACTAAATGCTCTGTATATTTAGCCTGGCCTGGAAGCTGGATAAATAAGATAACTTGAAAACCCTTCCGCTAATTTATCACAAGACATATAGCTAAAAATCTATAACAATGGATACCTGATTAGTTGACCTAGCTAGAGCAAAGAGACTTCCTGTTTCGTTCAGTTACTCTGTAGACTTTCTTCCTGTTGCACTCTTATGTTGTCTCACTTATAGATAACCTCATAAGTATTTTTTTGCTTTCTTAACACTGTGCACTTCTGTAGTGTAAACTCAACAAAAGGAAGTCAAAGATCATTACACATTTAAGATGGTACATTGGTATGGAGAGCTAAACTGTATGGCTTTAAAGATTCTGGATTGTACTAGCTTATTTTATAGCTGTTTTATCTGCTATATAAACAATGAAAATTGACTGCAGTAGACTTTCTTCTTTAACAGGACTTTTGTGCAAAAACATTCTAATCACAGGGAACTTATTTATAAGTTGGCATCTCAGGGATTTGGTGAGTCCTTTCTAGTTGAAATTAAAAACTGGATTTAGGCAATTACCTTAGGACTACATTTGTGTATTTGACTTTGTGGAGTAAGATGTCCTATCTCAGAGTCTCTAGATCCAGTGATATCCTATGGTCAACTTCTGGCAGCTCAACTTCAGCAAGAAGTTGACCATAGAATTGTGCTAGAGGTTCTAGAGATTCTTAGAGAGGTGTTCTCTCAGGTTAATTTTTTAAAATACAAAGTTTTCCCACTTTGGAGGAGGGGGGGGTGGATGTCCTGAGCCCCCAATGCCAGCAAATATAGATGACTGACTGTATACACCTCCTAATATGCATCACAAATCACAGATTTGAATGATCTACCTCAGTTATCAAAAACTTTTACTAGAGACTCTGCTACTCAAGGCAGAAGTAATATAGAAGGAATAGGGATGGGTTCTCCCTAAAAATGTAGAGCAGCTCAAAATATTTAGACAAACTTTTCATTTGATTTTTCCAGACATACAGCTGGCAATGCAATGCCAAAAGACTGTTTATCAAGCCCTCCTTCATCCTCTTCTCAATGCTGATGCTGTTAAAATAACTTCCAAATAGATAGATCACCACGGGCAGGCAGAACAAATCTTTGCAAAAAGGAACTTCTTTGTCAGAGGTTTTGTTAATAGAGGTATGTGTGTACTTCAAAAGCTTTTTCTACAAATGAAAGACTAAGAAGTAAACAATATCCTCTCCTGTCTTCCACATATGCGCCTAAATGTCTGAACTGATCCTATGCCTATACAAGTTGGACCAAAGAGTAAGAATGCCATTCAAAGTTATATAGAGATGCCTATAGATGCCATACTGCTCTTTGTCCAATGGATTATAGGAAGCTGTAGAATTAATGCAGTCTGATACCAATAGCTCAGTGCTATGGAACCCTGGAGTTGTGGTTTGGTGAGTCACCAGTACTCTTTGGCAGAGAAGCTAAAATTCCAATTTATATGATTCCTTAGAACTGAGCCAAGGCAGTTAAAGTGGTGTCAAACTGCATTAATTCTGTAGTCCAGATGTATCCTTAGGCTTAGACAAATTGTCCACCTCTGACTGGAAGTATCCTGGACAGAAATCTTTACCATTACATACATGATCCTTTGGAGATACCAGGGAATGAAAGCGAGACTTTCCACACGCCACTAATCTATGGTTCTCTATTAGTGAACTATGGTTTCTGTTTTTGCCCAAATTGAGCAGGTCTAACATGGTCTGATAATTTGAAAGCGGGAAATGATCCACAGCAGACTGGGCTCAGCTGGATATCAAGAACTCCTCCTGTTGAATGAGCACAGCATTCTTCAAGAACACTGAAGTAATAATTGTTTACAAAACATGTTTTACAATCTCTATCTTTAACCTTCAGGGGGAGCTAAAATACAATTAAATCTAAGTTTGCTAAAAGAAGACAAGTATCAGAGGTCTGTGATCTTATCATATATACTTCTGCAGAAATCATTATTAGCTCTGATTCACATAATGCTGAACAAGAAGCATCTGTAGAAATGGCAGCTTGTGTTACAGTTCATTTACTTATGCATACCACCGAGTCCCCCACCTGCTGACATAATTTCCTGAATCATTGAGGGCCATTAGTTGAGAAAGGACTTATGAAAGAGATAAATGGAACTAAATCATACTAAGGTACTTGAAATAGGAAATTATTCCATTTTAGATGACAGATGTATATCATCCATCAAACTATCATATTTGGTGGTGTGAAGGGGGGAGGTCAATTCCACTAATTTTCAGAGATCTACAACTAACAAGGGCAGTCTGGTATAATTTCTGCAAGCTAAGCACCAGAAAGATGGCTAATTGCATGTTTATCAACACTCACAAGGAAATGTTCAGCAACATGATCCTTTCTTGTTCATATCTTTCTGCAAATGTAGTTAAGTTCCCCACCCTGTCTGGCTTTCTCCCTATTATACTACATACTGCTTGGTGATACTCCAAGAGGCATTAAAACGCACATAAACACACACACCATACATAGGAGGATCTTTACAGATTGTATTAAAATATAGGCCTAGGAAATTTCTACACAAACAGTTAAAAGTAAATAAATCAAACCTCTGTTTAAGTTTCCATTTAAGAAAACTTCCTATATAGTAAAGGTAAAGGTTTCCCTTGACATTAAGTCTGGTTTTGTTTGAATCTGGGGGTGGTGCTCACCTTCTTTTCTAAGCTGAAGAGTCAGTGTTGTCTGTAGACGGCTCCTAGGTCATGTGGATGGCATGACTGCATGGAGTACCGCTATCTTCCCGCTGAAGCAGTATCTATTGATCTACTTACATTTGCATGTTTTTGAACTGCTAGGTTGGCAGAAGCTGGGGCTATCAGGTGGAGCTCACCCCGCTCCCCGGATTCAAACTGCCAACTTTTTGGTCAGCAAATTCAGCAGCTCAACGGTTTAACCCACTGCACCACTGATGGCTCCTTGAAGTACACCCACATGATATTATTAGATTGTGGGACATACCATGCATAAAAGAGTTCAGCCAAGTGGAGTCAGCAAGTTCAGCAGCTCAGTAGTTTAACCCACTGCACCACAGGGGGTCAACATCCCATATACTGTAAGATTAATTTTCTATTTTAATAAGTATTTTTCATCCAAAAGATAAGAAAAACAATAGAAAAGTAACTGCATGATTATTTTAATAAGTGGTCTTAATATCAACTATGTATTTTACTTTCTCCCATTTATTTATCATTAAATGTTAATACTAATAAGAAAACAATAACCTTTAGCAGATTCTTAAGGCAGTTATTGAAAAAAATCTTATTTCAGGCAGTCTAAAAAGTCAATATACTACAGTGTGAAGAATCAATCAGAATAAAAATCTACCTACATATATATAACTGACACAAATTGTTACTGCTACGTTTTATCATGCAGGTCTGAAGAAATTAAGTAAGATGTATGATTAATTTACTTAATTTAATTTTTAAAACTTCAAATTGATTTCACAAGGTATCCAGTGTTAACACAGTTAAATCACAACCTTCTATTCTCAACCATAATTCTGTTTGGGAGCATTTAAATAATGGCATTGCTACAATACAGATTTAGAAAGCTTTTTTGCAAGCAAAACAAAACAAGACCAAATAGCCTCTAATCAAATTCTATTTGAAAGGAAAGGACAACCTGTTCCAAAGTCAAACCATCCATCACATAAAGATGCTGCTAACTGTTTGGTCAAGAAAAACGTTTGATAATGATTGTCACAGAAACTTCCCTAAACTAATAAAACATTCTGTCCTGGACACCAGCAACATCAAAGGAAAGCACAGATACGCAATGTGTACAAGATGTGAAATGATAAACTGGATCCTGCTGGATTGTAAACAAACAAACAACTAGCAACCTTTTATTCAAGAGTATTCAGGCAAGACCTTTGCTATCATATCTACAGCCCACACACCTATTTTATGAATTTTAATTCACCAAATATATCAAGAACAACCTATTGAAGAAGAGAAATCCTTGCACCACGCAGAAACATTTCTTACAATGCTCTTGCTCCAAACTCTCCCCAAATATGCCTCACAGGGGAATTCAAGAAGAATGACAGCAACTACAG